TTTCGTTGAGATATCTCAATTTTTGCTCGAGTTATCGTACAGTTTCATTCTGATTATTTATGTATACATTTGTCTATATCTATCTCGATTCGCTTTGGCTGTTAAAAACAACCGTTATGCGAACAAAGTTATAGTACCCTCGGGTATAATAATAATTTGGCGCCTACAATTTTTGCTGAGGTTTTGCCTTTAATTTGTGGGGTTATAACACGAATGGAGGGACCTTCAATTTAGCCCCGCCTCCGAACGATTTTATGAGAAACTTTTTCAGGCAGAAATACTACACTCGGAGGTTTTGCCATTGCCTGTAGAGGGACAACCGCAGTTCGAGTTTTTTTAAATCTAGATTTCGTTCGGACCAGGTCGTATGGAGTGGTGTACGCACCTCTAACCACTCAGCCACAGCGGTCCCTCAAAAATTTCAAGTCGATTAATAAACATCTTGCTTTAAGCGAGGGATCAGTAATTTTATGTTTATTTTTAGATCTTTGTGAACTCGTTATTTCTTGATTTTAATTTTTTCGATAAAGAATAAGAATTATACATACATACATATGTCTTATCTTTTTATAAAAAATCGGTACAGTGCAACCCGCTTAAGTACCCCCCTCCCCGCTCAAGTACCTAACCCGCTTAAGTAACCAACATTTGTGTGCACCGTGAATTTTTTGATGTAATCTTAAGAAAGTCCCTCTCTTAAGTACCTCCCCGCTTATTTACCCAACCCGCCTAAGTACCTAAATATTTCGTAGCCCATTTCCCCTTTTACTTATAATGCTCCCCTTTTAAGTGCTCTTTTAAGATTCCTTAAAATACTTACGTATATATTCAGAAATTCAGTGGCAGCGCAACGCACCTTCGGCAAAATAAAATCGAAAAAATCAATGGCAATTTGTAACCACTTGGAACTTGCACATTATTAAACTAAAATTGAAAGGGCAGTAAAACTTTGTACTCAATAAACCTCTTCTGAGAAAAAAGTTTGAAATTATGATAGATTTTTTTTAAGTGTTCTACAAAATCTTAAGCTTAGGTTTATATGGTATATTTATACTATAAATATGTATAATCATTGACTTTTTAAAGAATTTAATTCTTGTAAAAATTACATACCATTGCTTTATCTATTTTTTTACAATTTTCTTTATTTGTTTATCTGTTTAGATAATGCTACGATCTTGGTTTTAAACTACTTCATTAAATTTCAATCAAGAATTTACATATTTACAAGTTAACAAGTATATGTATCTACATCAATAATTATGTTCTTACTTACGTGTACTTAAGCGGTTTTTTTAAGTACCCAACCCGCCTAAGTACCTCACAAAGCTGACATATTTCGTGAGGGGGTCTGACTGTATTTTGATTTTTTAATTTTTCGCTGACTTTTAACCGTTTTCTATCGAAAAAAAAAATTACAAAATAGCAAACAAAGTTGATAGAAAAATAAGAATCAAGAAATATCGGTTAAATTTGATCGAAAAAATAGAAATCCCAACAGCTAAATTATGTTAATAGAAAGATCATACCCTGCGGTACGGGGGAGCAACTACAGGACTGATGGATCGGTAGCTACCTGGTAAAGAAAAGCTGGCAGCACTCCACAAGGTCAGAAATTTCTTAAAATATGTTCGAAAAATATGCTGATATGGAAGGAACTGCTTTACACTGTCAAGGAAAAGAATTGCCAAAATTCAACGCAGTTTTTAGCAACTTCAATCTTGCACTTTATTATACTAAAATTAGATTTTTTTTGAGTCTAATTAAAAAGTTTGCAATTTAAGTGAAACCTTGCAGAATTTTTTTAATTTTTCTACAAAGTTTGATCCAAACCCAGAGATCTACCACATTTTTTCCCAGATTCTGCCACACAGAATTTTTTTAAGTCCGATCACTGGTGAGCATATACGTGTGAAAAGCGTACAGTTGAGCTGTACGCGTGATAAGAAAAAACAAGTGAAAGGATATGATCCTCAGATATGCAATAAGCTTTAATTATTTTAGTACGGTTGCCACCTATTTAAAAATTACCACCTTGCATATAATACGTGAGGGCATTTTTTGTTAATTACATCAGATTTGCGCAGTACAGTCATTTAAAAAGAATTAGGTCTCAAAGGAAAGGGCTAGGCGTTCAGATGTGCAATAAGATTTTATATTTTCGAAGAGGGTTGCCACTTGTACTAAAAAGTCGTTAAATGAGAGGACTTGGTCCCCAGATGTACACTAAGGTTTTATTTTTTGGAATAGAGTTGCCGCCTGCATAAAAAATTATAAGATCCACACCGTTCGTTGCATTAAAAACATAACATGTCAAATGAAAGGGCTTAGCCATTAGGTGTGCAATAAGGCTTAATTTTTTAATAGGGCTGCCACCTGCTGCGTATATGTACTTACTTATGTACACATTCAGCGCGTGGCGAAGCCTCGCGCATACGAGGTCGATTAGTTAACCCAAATTGACTCTGTGTTGCCATATGGCAACGCAAAATACATCATGTTTAAGAGGGTGTAAAACAAAAACCGCTTACTTCAAAATGCTTAAATGTACGTTAACTAATTCCTAAAAGGAGTATCTTTCGAAACGCTTACGCTTCCGTGTAATGCAAGTGTGTTCTTTAAACAAAATTAGAAGTGACAAAAACACATCAAAATGTCATATATAAAGAAGTAAGCATGAATTTATAGAAAACGTTATTTTTATTTACAAAATATGATAGTGACAAAATATTAGTTAAAACAGTAGTGACTCTATTGGTAACAAGTAAGAATAAAAAACAATCGTGCATGCTATATAATTTAAGTGTTTTTTAAGTCCGTTGCCATATGGCAACACGGGGCGTAATGTGAACTGTTCCTCTTTTTACTAAATTTTGATATGTTCGCTAGCCCAAATTGACCCCGTGTTGCCATATGGCAACGCAAAATACCATCATGTATGAGACGGTGTAAACAAAAATCGTTTGTATGTATTTTTTCAGTTTTGCAGACGGTTAACACATTACATCCAGCGCTGAACTGCCTAATCATATTATCGTATATTTCATTGTACAAGTGTTGAAGTGGTATACGAATGTAGTTTGTCTGTTCCAGGGAAAACTGGTGGCGTTTTTTGCATTCTCATCTGCTTCTTCATTATCCTAGATACCCTTGTGACCGGACAACCCATAGATATGTAGCCTTTTATCAGCGTCTAGCTTGTCAATGGCTTCCAGGCTGCGAGGGACGTTTATGGATGAAATGACGTTTATGGACTATATCAGGAAACTGCCTTGATTGGCGCCTGGAATAGGTTTAAGTTTGAATTGATTGTCGTTTCGGTGAGGGCTAGCTCTGTAGTTATCCTCATTGCGAAAACCTCTGCTTGAAATATGCTGCAATGGTCAGGTAGCCTTATTGTCCGCCTGACATTCAGTTCCCGGCAGTAAATCCCGGCTCCCACTCCCGTAACCATTTTAGAGCCGTCCGTGAAAATCTTTATGGATCTATGGCTAGGTTTCACTTCCATCCCTCTTCCTCAATCGGTGTGCAAAAAGTTCGTTTCCACTTAAAGCTAGGTGCCATGAAGTCTGTGCTGCTTGTGCTTCCCGCCCCAATTAAGTGGTGCCCAAAGGTTCTGAAATTTAATTTCTCTATGACCGTTAATCTACGTGCGGATTTCGCAGCAGGGATTTTAAAGAGCATCCGTAGAAGTGGACCTCAGTGCTCCCGCGATGCACGGTGCCGCTAGGCGCTGCACCTTCCCCATTTGCCCGAGGCATAAGGACTTTTGTGCGGCATTCCAGCACACCAAAGCGCCATAGAGCAGTATTGGGCTGACTATTGCTGTGTAGAACCAATGCATCAGAGCAGGCGACAAACCCCAAGTGACTCCCAGCATTATTTTACATGCATAAAGGGAGTTACTGGCCTTCTTCTCTCTTTCTTCAACATTGCGCATCCACAGCAGCTTACCTTCCAAGACTACTCCCAAATACTTTCTGTAGTCTTTAGTTAACAGCTCGATGCTAAATACCTAGCCTCGGGGGTCTCCACACTGGGACCTTATATCTTTTTGTGACTACACCACTGACCCATACAAATTTACAAAAAAACTTCTTTGTGCTGGTGAAGTATGTAAAACTATAGGACGAGTAGCCTGTGCAAAATGTGATGTGGGTTTATGTTTGAAATGTTTTGCTATTTTTCATTAACTTCTTCATCCGCTTTGCACGTAAAATATGCATATACTATCAATAAATGTATTAAAACTTATACACAATGTTTCTATTATTTCATATTTTAACCAAATACTGTCTTCTAACAATCCATCTGGAATATGCCCCGTGTTGCCATATGGCAACGGCCGATATCGGCAGAACTATACTACTCCCAAAGTTTTAGTCATATTTTTTCCTTTACTTTAACGCTACTTTTACAATGTATATAGGTGAAACCAAAAAAATCGAAAAAAAATTAATATGGGACAATTTGGGTTAAAATTTATTTAAAGGTGAATGACACAAATGCACATGGTTCCCTATGCAAATACATATTACATACCGTAATCTGAAATGCAAGAAGACGTAACAAACATCATCGATGAAATGCAAAAAGTCATATCTAATAAAAAATTCAAAACTAATTTTTTGATTTATTTTATATGATGGATTTCATCGAATTACAACTCCCCACATCATTTTATAAAAAAAAATTTAAATATAAGTCATGACTTTTTCCATTTCATTTACCATGTTGTTACGTCTTTATGCATTTCAGGTGACGATACATACATATGTACATATAGTATTCGAATTTTCACATTGGACACTAACTTAAAAGCGGCTGAGCGTTGGGTGCGTTCGATTTTATGAATGAAACACAACACGGTTGCAATGAAAAGCTCGCAATTGTTGTGCTCCTGAGAGCACTCTCGCACACTCTCCTCGAATAACATAGAGGATAGCCCAACTTTCGGGCGAAAGGACATGCTCATTCTTTATTGATTTTCATACGGATAAGTTAAATAACAAGTCAAAGCAATGCATCCGTGAATAAGGCAGGTTTACTTAAAGTGGGGAGTCCGAATCGAGTAGTTCAGGCCAATGTGAAAGTAAAGGGCTAATCAAATGAAACTTTTGATTAAACAATTCCCCTAATGCACTAGGATGTTATGTAAAATAATAAAAAAACGCAAAGGATCTGAAAAGTGCTTAATTGTGTAACACCTAATCGAAATGTGTTAGCGGTGAAAAATATTACTTTACATATGTACATAGATATACAAAATTTGCGAAAAATTAATAAAAAAATAGAGGTCAAATGGGAAGCATTGATTTTACAAGTCACATAATATTCGATTCACCTTTTCACCAAGTTATTTGTTAAAATATAGAAATAATATAAATATGTTTGAGTGTGTAAAAGAAAATTTAGTCCTCATAATCGGCAAAATGTGTGGCCCAAAATATACGAGATGGTGAACCATTGTACGCCTTCAGAGGGGTGCTCCTGAAAGCAAGTGATTGCTGCTCACATACCTACATACCAATTTAATAACTCACTTTGAGTATCGGAATTTTATGTACAATACGAGAATGTAGAAAGTGCTAAAAGTGTTTTTCTCCGTGTCCTACAAACTTTGTGCAAGCGTATGTGAGTGCGGAGGCTTGAAGGAAAATAAAGCAATATGATTTGCGAGCGTATATAATTCATAAAATACATACATACAAATGTATGTATGAGTACATACAAATGTACATGTCATAACACATACTATAACCTAGCGAGTATGTGCATGTGATGTTCGCTATGACGAAGAAAGTGAATGTGCATCACTCACATTCAATGAAAATGAAAACAATTACATAATCAAATAAGAATATCTAACATAGCGAATGTAATTCCGTAAAGAGTTTGAATAAAAAGAAATTCATGTACCTGCACTAATGAAATAAGAAATAAGAGCTGCATACATAATTTAAACACAAAAGGATCATGAAAATGAAAAATCTATATTAAAATTATATATATTTCTAATTAAATAATTATTTTTAAAGCACTGGTGGAACTAAAAATTCGATTGCTTTTTCTGAAAACATAATCTAGTGCGGTGCTTAATGAAAGTGTATGTAATCGTGGGTAGAAATTTGTGATAAACAGGGAATTTGCCAACAACACACATTATATAATAATTACTGCGCGAATCACACCACGTTTCTAATAACGGCATAAATGAATATACCCTTCACCAAACATACGTGGTTCTGTTTTTATTTCTTTACAAAACTTAAACAGCATTACTAGTACATAAATAGAAAATTAATAGAAAATAAATTACAAATTACTATAATTTGACTCCAATTTTGAAAACTAAGCAAATATATTCATACAAATAAGCAAAACTTATTACGTATGTACATATATTCAATTAAAATTAATAGAAAGTACGCCGATTTTTTCAACTGAACTAGTATATACATACATAAATACTAAGTGCTACTGTAGTTACTAGCGACATCGATACTCAAACCCTGCCTACTTATTTATTATTACAACATATGTATGTACTACATCCCATAGAAGTTAAAGTGCTATTGTACCTACACATCTATTACGAGTATAAAAATACATACATACGTATATAGTAACGTAAGAAATCTACACTAGTACGTCCTTTTTACATTAGTATTTCGTACTGTACCCACCAAATCCACAAACAACAGCAACGACAACTTCTTTTATCAAATATCCTACCAAATATCTATGCGGAATGCACTTCAAATGCAGAGGTGCAAAGTTGAATGAAATTAGTTGCAACAACCACCCAGCCACCAGCCACCCACCCACCACCTTTCAACTAAAGGACACTCAACAGAACTGAACTCCTGCATAGCCATACATACATATGAATGTGCGTATATTTATAGTGGAAGCAGATGTATGAATGCACACATGTTTTGTTCAATAAATACATGAATCCATACATATGGACATTCTTATAAGTGAAGCATAAGAAAGATGTACGCACAGGAGCCAGTGTAGTAAAAGTGAGGATGTCAAAAACTTTCACCGTCGACGATATATGTAAATAAAATAAAACGAGCAGAGACAACCAGTGAAAAGTATGGTGACAGACAGTACTCGTAGTGTGTTCCCGTAGACAGAGCGTTCACACAGCATTTTATGCGTGGAGAAAATGCACGTAAAACACACTCAGCGCAGAGTTAGTGGGCCTGGAGCATTTGGAACATCAAATAATCAATGGTAGGATCATAACAGATTTTGTTTATAAAAGTTACTCGTCCTTTATGTTTATGCATTTTATATGAATCGTTTTCGTTTCACACACTTACACACACATACGAAACAGTATGAAATATGCACCAATCATTTCATAAATAAATGGCGAAACATACGAGTATATAAAAAAAAGTGCATACTATCATTTTAAATGCGGGGCAGTGATCGGACTTCTGTGTGGTAGAATCTGGGAAAAAATGTGGTAGATTTCAAAAAAACGTGGTACATCTCTGGGTTTGGATCAAACTTTGTACAAAAATTAAAAAAATTCTGCAAGGTTTCACCTAAATTGCAAACTTTTTAATTAGACTCTATAAAAATCTAATTTTAGTATAATAAAGTGGAAGATTGAAGTTGCTAAAAATTGCGTTAAATTTTGGCAATTCTTTTCCTTGACAGTGTAAAGCAGTTCCTTCTATATCAATATATTTTTCGAAGATATTTTAATAAATTTCTGCAACCTTGTGGAGTGCCGCCAGCTTTTCTTTTTATCACATCACGAAGTAGCGAGCAAATGTGGCACGTTCCAGAAACAGCTAATTGGGATTTGCCGATTTTCACAATTTTCAAGTAAAAGTAAACAACGCCTCAGAAACCTTTCATGCACTTAAATTTGCTAATACTTTCACAAAACTCGCCGGTTTTTAACATTTTCGCTATTAATTCTTTTTATAAATCACATATTTTGCAATTTAACACAATAAAACGGCGTTTCCTAACGAAAAATGTATTACTGAGAAAATTTACTATTTTACAGTTTATTTAATCCTCACATTCGGCTTTGTTTACTTTTACTTGAACAATTTCATCGTCGCCGGGAATGAAGAATATTGCATTATATCATTCTTGTTACCATATCGTGTAAAATTAAGAAAATTATGTCAAGCAAAAATAAAACTACTCAAAAACGCGAATGTGTGGTAGATTTCAGACCCTGAGTGGTAAATGTGGTAGATGCTCATAAAAGTGGCAGATCTACCACAATGTGGTAGAAGTCCGATCACTGATGCGGGGTGGGGGCTAGTTAACCGCATGCCTATCTCTACATGTCTTTGAACCAATTTGATTCTCTGGCGAAGCCTAGCAATCCTTCCAGTGGAGTTTTGCCCAAGGTATCCTGGCTCTCGAAGGCTCTTGAGGCATTCCCCCGGAGTGCTGGACCCTCACAAAGGAAGTGTTGGACGGATTCTACCTCCTCCTCATCTCTACAGCATATACAGAAATCGTTATGCGGTGCTCCGAACCTGACTGTCATATCGCACACCGTCTTCAAAAGAGTCACAACTCAAAATTTGGCATTTTTCAGCAAAAGCTGGAGAAAATTTTTGTAATAATTTGTTAAAAAAACGTAAGGTAAAGTCGCCCTTGCCGATATGATTATTATGTGCTAAGAAATAGTTTTTCACGTTTTCTGAGAAACGTATTATTCTGAATGGTGACTCTTTTGAAGACGGTGTGCGATATGGTCAATGGTCCAGTGTTCCGTTAGTATTCCTGTTAAAAGCCTAAGGTTTGGTTTTGAAAGTCTTAATAAACTACTTGTTCCTAGTTCGTCAATCCGTGGCCAGAGCAAGCGCGATACCATGTAGATGTGTAGATTTCGTCACAATTCGTTAAGCACGGGTTCCACATCATAAGAGATAAAACGCCTACCACGTTCAAAAAGGGTGCCAGCGCATATTCTTTATGGTTTAGTGCTTTTTCTATACTTCCGGCAACCTCGTGCAGGGCTGTTTCAACCGACCTACCGACCTTAGCGGTGGGCATGATGGGTCTCGCTGAAGTTCTCAGGAGTAAGGCGTTGCGTGGTCTGCGGACTTAGAATCTTATCCATTATTTTGAGGATAAATGATGAAACGCTGATGGGTGTAAAGTCTTTAGCGATACTGTGACCCGTCTTCCCTGCTTTGGGAATGCAGACCACTCTTACCTCCCTCCAGGGCTTTAGAATATAGCTAAGGAGGAAACTCGCCGTATAGATGGTTCTTAGCCAGGGAGTTACCGTGGCACTTTCTCGTTGTAGCATGGCGGGAAATATTCCATCTGGACCCGTAGATTTGTAGTGTAGCAGTGATCATTTCGTCAACTGGACTACCTTGCCTATGGGTTATAGGGTGTGCTAGTGCAGGGGTAACTGTGTCCCTTGCGTTGCCGCACCCAGGGAAGGGAACGTCCATCAGGTGTTCTAGTCTTTCAAGGCTGAATCCGGTGTGCCTTCCTCCTGGCTTTTCCAGAAAACCGGGAGGAGCAACGTTTTTTGAGGGGCACCTTCTTAATCGAGCGGTTTTAATTTTCGTTTCAAGGTCCTCACAGAATTTCGACCACGATACCTTCTTTATCTCTTTCTTGGACACATTGAAGTTGCGACGTTATTCTTCCCAATCCTCCACGTCCTTAGTGAACTTCGCTCTATTGAAGGCCTTACTAGTTGCCTTAGTTCCACCGTCCACCACCTTGTGTGTCACCTGGGAGGTTTGTTCTCGGGACAGGTGGCTACGTAACATTCGTTGAGAGATTTCTTTAGACAGAGGACTGCTCCCTCCATTTGGACCGCTGAAGCTTGCTTCACCGTGTACGGGGGGCGCATTCGAGATATAAACTGGCTTTTATACCTACTGTCAGGTGAGAATTGTCCTGCCGCCCAATGTGGGTCAGACGCGGACCAGAGAGCCGCCCTACTGCGGAACAGACGCTTCTGGATTTGTCGGTCATCAAGTTTGTGTCGTCCTGAGCGTACATCGATGCGCGTCTCATGCAGTCCGGGTCCAGTCCAACTACGGGAGCTCAGCCTTGAGCAAGGATATACCACCTAGCACCGGTCGACAGAGCGCGTTAGTGATAACAGGGACCATCAAGCCTTGGCGGGCAGTGAGGGAGGTTGTCTTTTGGGAAGGATAGGTTATAGATTCACTTCGCTCCCTCATTAGATCCCCAGAATAACCATAGATTATGATCAATTTTAACTCATAAGTATGTTTTTAAAGTCGAATTCTGAAAGTAATTTATGATAAGATGAGTTGGTTTAGAAATATGTAAAAAAATACAGATTTACAACAATGATATTCCATATCGTGTCGTTTCTGCGTTAACCCGTATCTAAATTTTTTGGGAAAACTAATATTGCCACTCATAACCTTATACAGTTTAAGCGACCCACTGTTTGAAAATATAACAAAAACTTAATGTGGGTGCTCACTAGTGTTAGTAGAACCAGACATATTAAGCAACAAGTAAGACCAGAGCTGCCGAAGGCTCCATATCTTTTATGAACATCTGAAAATTTTAATAGATTACTGCATTTGTAAAAATTTATATATTCACAGCATACATAGATAGAGGAGACACATATAAAAAAAATCATATCTAAACAACCAGAGGTATGGAAGATATACCTTATATAGCACCAATCTAAATGATCGATATGTAAACCGGTAACACATTTTAATGGGTTTAGCTTCCTAAATAAAGGAGATATATCGCAAAAACTGGTATCTGAACAATCAGTGGTATAAGAGTTAAAGCTTATACAGCATAGATTTTGATGATTTTCTCAGTAGACTTTCTATTATTATTTATAAAATAGTTTATGAAATTTATCGGTTTTAGCTGTCCAAGCTGTATGAGCTTTACAACGATATAGACATAGTGCAGCGAATTAAAATTCAGCGGCGCCGCTGGCTTGGCCATGCCGTTCGAATGGACAGAAACGCTCCTGCTCTGAAAATATTCAACGCGGG